TGCTTAGGAGAGTAGCTCAATTGCAGCTCAATGGCAAAATGGCCAAGACCTGCTACTTGCACGGACCCAGTCCGCTGAAAAAAGGGCAGAGTTCAGAATTACACGTAGGCTTCCTTGCCCCCTTTGGAAACTTCTGTAAAGGACTTCCACCATGATCGCTTGTCATTCCGCTTCCCATTTCTCAGAAAACGGTCGGAGCATAGCATAGACATGCTACAGCTACCTATATATACACTGGTAACCTTAAACGACGCAACAAGTCACTGTAGTTTTCAGGGGAACAGCAAAGAGGGGACATTTTTTGTGCCCCGATCTTTGCAGATTCTGCAGGCGGGGATTGCTTATTATACTTCGCAATTTGAAGCAGCAGACAAAAATGACGTTTTCACCTGGAGCTATTAACGGCAGGACTCTGATTTAATAAGCAAACACATTCTTACACCAACATGATCCCATCGAAAAGTGGTTCGTAAATGTCAGGATCAGCCAGGCGGCACAAGATCAAATATCACGCCTACTGAAGGTCGCAAAGCGCCGCTAAATCGGTAAATTCCACTATGACATCACAACGGTTTGATTTCAAATGGAAACGCTAAGTGAAGCGGAAAATGTGTAGCAGTTCGCCGCGAGCGATGCATACGGGAAATGTCAGAAACGCACCCAATGAGTTCAACTAAAAAACAAGGTTTACATAAATAAAAGGGTAAAATAAATAGAAAAGTTCGCCGGAGTGTGTAAGTAGACTAGTTTTTCGTCCGGATTTCATGGCACACATATGTAAATCACTCGATGCCAAGACCATGGCGCAGAGCATTCGACCACCTGCAATTGTACTGCTTATGAGTCATCGTAAACTTACTCCTGTTCGAAGAGAAAAGAGGCTCTTTAAAGGAGGTGGGCGAAATGGAGCAACTCATTTTGAATCGACATTTATTGAACCAAGTGGGACCTTTTTTACACCAAATCGCACACTTTTCGAATCAAATCGGACTTACTCGACACATCGGACCTTGAATAATTAGACCGCTTTGGTAGTGCTTCAATCCCCGCCCCAACACCATAGTCCAATTGTCAGCGGGTCATGGCTTTTCGAGATTCGTTTTATGAATTTTGCTTCTGTGACTTCTTTGCCTTTCTGCCATTTCGCACGTACAGAGGGAAGGATCAACATACCACTATAGATACGAGTCTGTGGTGTTTACCAGGATATTATTAAGAATTTTGAATTTTTATAACTTTTTTCAGCGTCTTTACATATCCGTTCTTCACAAAACGACTGTACCCATACGCATGCATTCATACACTGGCACACCGAACTCCACCCTCTTAGCCACGCCCACTTTTGCGTCTTTTCGAGGAATTTTAACCTTTTCACCAAAATTTTAGTGCTTATTGCTGCGACAGGCGGCTCCGCCTTCTATGAGAAGTTGCGCCCACTTCTTAGAATTCCGCTCATTGAACTATTCAGATGGGCACAAAAACGCCAGGCGGTGTTTGTTCCGGGTGACGAGGGACCCAAACTTGCCAGTTGAGACTCTAACCTGCCGTCCTGGATAATTTTTCTGAAGTAGGCGGAGTTTCTCATAGAAGGCGGAACTACCAGTTGCACTCCAAAAGGATGAAAACCATTACGCACAGATCCGTAAGAAGACGCAAATTTGGGCGTGGCTAACGGGCCGGCGGAGCGTAGTGCAATAAAACGCAAAAGCGTAATCCAGAAAACGATTTATGAAAAACCGTGGTCACGCTGCGAAGTGGCGGGTAGTCCCTGCAGCAGGGCTAGCAGCAGTAATTAGTTTGGTCTAGTTAATCAATTGTCCGATGTATAGAGTATGTTTCGAAAAGTGTCCGATTCGAAATAAAAAATGGTATATACCATTTTCACTTTAAATCGGACACTTTTCAAACCAAATCGGACACTTCAACGCAATCGACACCGTTTTCAAACTCAAAATCGACACTTAAACCAAATCGGACACTTTTCAAATCAAATCGGACACTTTTCAAATCAAATCGGACACACCCCTTACAATTAGGTGGTTGATAACTAGACCACACTAGGTACTGTTGCAAGCCCCGCCCCATTATCCCCGCCCACTTCTCAGCGCGGACAGGGTTTTCCGAGATCTTCATGAAATCTGCTCCCTCGGCTTTTTGGTTTTTGCCCTTTGCACCATACTTCAATACTGAGAAAAAGATTGATACCTATACACAGATCTGACTCCTGCCCACTTAACAATGAAGTTACGTAAGTTCTGAATTTTTATAACTTTTTTCGAAGTAGTACTTTTCACATCCAATCTTCACAAAGCGAATAACCATGCAGCACACCAGGCCCCGCCCCTCTGACCCCGACGCACTGTGTTTTTATAGCGTGGTAATTTTGGTTTTTCTTCCGGATTTTTGCTTTTTTAGGCTTTAGCGATTGGCTCCGCCCACCAATGGAAGCTCCGCCCACTTTGGGGAAGCCCCGCCCACTTTTCGAAAATGATGCAAATCGGCGGGCTAGTGTCCGTACTTGGCGATATTACCGCCTCTCCGGTCGCTAAAAAAAGCTTCCCCTTTTTTTTTTGTTTCGCGGTTTGTTCCTTTCTTTTACTTCTATGGCCGGGAGAAAAGTTCCGATTGTCGTTGTGAAAGTCCCGATTTTGTGACAACGTTGTCTGATTTGGTTTTGAAAAATAGTCGCGATTTGATTTTAAAAAGGTTCCCGTTTGGTTCAGTGTCCGATTTGGTTTGAAAAGTGTCCGATTTGGTTTGAAAAGTGTCCGATTTGGTTTGAAAAGTGTCCGATTTGGATTTGAAAAGTGTCCGATTTGATTTGAAAAGTGTCCGATTTGGTTTGAAAAGTGTCCGATTTGGTTTGAAAAGTGTCCGATTTGGTTTGAAAAGTGTCCGATTTGGTTTGAAAAGTGTCCGATTTGGTTTGAAAAGTGTCCGATTTGGTTTGAAAAGTGTCCGATTTAAAGTGAAAATGGTATATATAGCGAAAGTACACAATGCCAGGTAAAGACAGATCCTCTCAGTTTTCTTCGTGGAGAAGAAACCAACTAGTTACAAGGAAAACAAGTCTCTACTACTTCAAGAGATTTTCCCTGAACTCACTTGATGATACTCTTCTCATGCTCAACTCGAAACGAAATGACTTGTTCCTTTCGATCTGTCATGATTTGGTTGCGATGAGTTAGCTCGAATTGCGTTCCTCCACTTTCAGCTTCTGTTTCCTTCAGTTCAAAACCGTAGATGACATACTGCTCACACGGCTCATCATCCTGAAATATAACTATCATGTATGAAAGGCTTACAAGGCATGCGGAACAGCAACACTTTGTAAATATTCAAAATGCAGAATATTTTTGGAAATTATTGTTTTCACACATTCTTCTCATAAAGAAGACAATTGACCGAACACACCCTCTACGTGCTAAGTGACCTCAGAAACCACAGGCCATATTCAACACACTTCGGACCGCCGCGCGGTGTGAGGTTATCCGCATAATTTCGTTTACTTTTATTTTAATTTGTTTATTCGGTTGACGTGACAGGGCACAATCAACAACAAAAAAAGACAACTAAATAACTAAAATCAGTATACAGCTACAACTTTTCGAACCAATAATCAGCAAGTTTCATCTGTTTCTTTCACTTTCTATGAGATATTTGTATTCTCTGCCTAAAAACGTGTTCTGATACCTTCGGAGCATGAATAAGATGCCAAATGGACCGTATGAAACGGCGCAGAGAGAAAAAAGTATGACACACCATGTGTGTCACGCGGTCCGGAACGTGTTAAGTTGCGTTGAACTAATATAGTCCACACTTCAAAGACAAGACAAGCAGAGAATGACCTCGAAATCGCTATGTAAACTATGGATGCTCAAAAATTAGAAACCAAGAAGACTAAGGCACCTGTCAGAGAACCTTCCCACTGCTACATGATTGTTATGAGTGAGAACATTACTGAGATCCAACATTTCTACCTTTGAAAGCATTCCCAAGGAAACTGGAATGGGACCAAAAAAATTACACGTAGCATGACAGCGCCACAACGGAATTCTCTTAATGCCAAGTTCTATCTCACTGGTAGCGATCCAGATTTTGAACACAACATAACGTAGGCCCCTCAACCTTCTATCAAAACACTGCACACTTCAACGCACCTCAAAGACAAACCCAGCGACTGCATATGTGGTTAGTGGCGTTCAGTTACAGACCTAAAGTCGCTATAGAGCTCCCACCGAAGATGAAAGCGGAAAATCATGGAGAACACCCTAAGGAGCCCTGGCAGATTTTCTGGACGAGTTTTGCAGATCTGCTGCTTATGCCAGCAAAGCGATATCCTGCTGCATGTGGCTCACTCGTAGTTTCTTCGCATCATCCAACAATACTATCAAACAGTGAAAATGAAACAAAAAATCACTGTGTGAAACTGAACTCGTGACAGAAAATAACCTTCGGAGTTTGGTGGGCGGTCAACTATTGAGGCGTCAGAACTGTCACTTATGAGGCCGCGCGCCTTCATTTATTGCGGAGCCCTGCGAAAGGGACAATTTTCGGGACTGCGGATCAGACTACTCGAACAAGGAAGGATGCCTACGAGTTGACTGAGCGCAGAGAGTGTCTTTGAGGAACAGCGTTGAGCCGATGATCTATATGACTTTCAGTTAGGATAGAAAATTTTACCAACTGTTCGGAAGCCACAGAATGTCACAAAAGTAGCCGAATTGTTTTGGAAGTTTAATTCCTGGGATACTAAGAATTTCCCGATGAAGGTCGATAAAACCATAGATCGTTAGGGTAGAGCGATGTTGACAGCTGGCTTTGCAGCCCTCCTTGGAAGATGGAAACGAAAATGCTGCGCTGGACGGACTGCGTCACTCTGATTCAGCGGATTACACTCGTAAAGATGACATGAGTCAGAGATTGGGTTCAGCTCCGTGGCTCATACTACGCGAAGCTCGACTTACAGCAGGGCTACCTCACCCGAACGTTGACACGGCCTGTAGGACTAGTTAGGAGCTCGAGCTGCTCGGAAAGTGATCTGAAGAACGCCAAACGGCGTAAAATCGACTGTAGATGATTGGCGACAACCCCATCACACATACAATCTAGAGAAGTGACATCACAAAACAGAAATAAGTGAAAGTGAGATGAAACTGTAAGTAAATGAATTTCATAGAGTTACACGAGTTTTTAGGCTTCACAAAAACTTTCTTCATATGGACAGGTGTTTCCAGAATGCCCTCCGCACAGTGTACTTGGTTAAAATAATTCAAGAATGCTCCCCCTCGTAAAGGGTTTCGCAGAATAATTCAATGTGAAAAATCGACTAATATTACACGCGTCTGCTATGAATGATTCTGTCTTACTGATTGCCGCATCAAATGCACATAAAAATGTCTGTTTTCAACGGAACACTGACGGTTACTAAGCCATGCTTTTCATGACTCATGATTTAATGATGAAAAGGCAGCTGAAATCCGAGAAGTGCAAATAACTAAACCGTTAACAGAAACTTACGAATGGCTTTGTAAACTCTCAAGACTCATGCCATCCGAAGCTGACATCCGTCACAATCTCACTCCCTGACATTCCTGTCAAAGACAATCACGTCATGAAATGAATGTGAAAAATGAAACTATTCTTGAATCCAATACAGCGACTGTTTGACAACGAAATTAAGGGGAAGAACAAATATGTTGAACGAAGCGCTGGAAAACATAATCGCTCAACCCTTAATAATAAAAATATAAATAAATAATAAATAAAATAAATATATCTGTCACACGACAAGTTTTCCATATACTGCTTCTTAATTTCCTCGTAAGTTTTTAGTGCAAATAAAATCCAGCGATTTCGTATTTATCTCTCGAACTATTGAATAGAGTGGAAAGATAATAAGACTAATACTTCCAAAATATATGTTGGGCGAGGGGGGGGGGTGGAAGTATCAAGGGATATAGTTCAGTTCCTGTTTAGCACGTGCCCTCAGACGAGGAAATGAACGACAAACTCTCCTCCATTTGGGCTCTTCAGTAAATGCAGAGAAGAAGAAAGGAGTGTGAGAATGAATTTCATATGAATGGAAGGTAAGGGATGAACAAAACTAGGAAAAATATTAGTAAAGTGAAGGAAGAAGTCCCACATATCACTATAGCGGGAATGTATTAGGGTCACACTGACGAAACTAGCTGAATCAACAGCGCTATTTGACAATGAAATTAAGGAGGAAGACCAAATATGTTGAACAGAGCGCTGGAAACATGATCGCTCAAACCTTAATATATGCTGGTACAGACAGTTTTTCCATATACTGCTTCCTAAATTCCTTCGTAAGTCCTAGTGTTAAGATAAATCCAGCGATTTTTCGTATGTATCTCTTGAAATATTGAATAGAGTGGAAAGATAATGAGACTAATACGTCGAAATTATATGTTGGGCGAGGGTGGAATTATCAAAGATATAGTTCAGTTCCTGTCTAGCACGTGCCCTTAGACGGAAAATGAACGACAAACTATTCTCCATCTGTGCTCTTCAGTAAATGCAGAGAGGAAGAAAGGAGTGTGAGAATGAATTTCATATGAATGGAAGGTAAGGGATGAACAAAACTAGGAAAAGTATCGTAAAGTGAAGGAAGAAGTCCCACCTATCACTATAGCGCGAGGCATTAGGGTCACCTCAAAACCATGCAACGGGAGAACAATTAGCTTCTCATTTTTCCTATAACCTATACCTATAATCTCATGGTTCATGGATACCAACTGAATAACGATCTTCATTATTAACTGCACTATGTTTAACGCTTCCACTAGATTATCAATTCACCAGCCCAGAACTCCACCAGCTAGAGTCGAGGAAGCGCGAAATCTCGTTTTCCGGCTCTTTCTAATCGAGTATTTCCCTCGTACATGCAGTTCAAAGCCCAAAAATGATATCATGCTGAAGGTGAGGATAAATCAGGAATATGACAGCGATAGAACTTCTAAACCAAGTGAGGCAACTTTCAGACGAGTAACCGCTGCCACGTGAAGTATTGCCATGAAATGGAGCATCACAGCCAGCATAGCTCACGAGAACTGCGTCTGCCACTTCCCAATGATGAGAAAGTATACTTGAGCGATCATGATATGCTCCGACGGCAGTAGTTCAAGGCCCAATATTCCCTTGAAATCCTACCAACAACGAGCGAAAATCCCTTTTAAATATCCTTTCTGCTCTTGAAGAGAAGGTCCTCCATGACAGCTAACTTTTGATCGTGTATTTCCAAAGTACAAAACCCAACCCTCATCCACTGTAAAGAGCTGGCGGCGAACGTTCTACCTGTACGCACAGAAGCGAGACTGACGCATATTTTTGTCGCCAGCTCAGGTTGGGTGAAGAATGAAATTTCGCCCTACCACTACTCGCAACCACCATAGCTCTTGACTTCTACGACTAGGAGTCATGTGAAACATAGGAGACATGCAATCTATCGCGATCTCCTCATTCGGTTTGTCGATACCGACTAGCATAAGAGTTACAGTTATTCGAAAGGTACAAGACTTCAGACCAACCTAATACTGAGAAGTTTGTTTTTTTGGAACTTACTTGGACCAACGATTTAGCTCTAAGAAGATAGGAGAACTCACTTGACCATGACTTTTCCAAAGACGAGACCACTGTCTGGCACCATTCGTTGCTCAATATTCATACGCTTGAGCCTTCTATTTATCGGAGGCATAAAAAGAGTTTGTGGTTCGACGACAACATATCTCTGTAGAGGAGACAGATTATATCACTCATCAAACAAATCAGCAAAATGTAACATGGAAACAGAGACTCCCATACCTTTTCCTGTAGCCCGCCTCCCTTCGGCACACGAATTCTAATTAGACCATCAGAACCTCGAAGCAGTATGTTAGTTGGAAATAGAGTACCCGCATTGTCTGGAAAGTTTCGTATGTGATAGGCACATCGTCAAGAAAATATGAGTGAAGAATCTACATAAGTTCTCCAATTTGTCGTAACATTCCGGACAAACAATTTCCTTTTTGAACTGGAATTTAGAAAGTGGCGCTTTCCCAACACATGTAGAGCATATCAGCTGAAAACGATGTTTGAAAATGAAAGAGAAAACGCAAAATGTAGCAGCACTTACCCAGCCACAGTCGCGACAATGATGACGGCGGTTCAAGAATGAAAACACCGTATCGCATCCCTCCATCAAACATTTACTTGAAGCGTCATCAGGAATCCACAGCGGTTTCATAGCATCGGACCGAATTACCTCTGCAAAAAACCCCTCTCAAAACAAGTCGATGAGGATGAAAATTGGTAGGAAATGGTTACTTCGCTTCGATGACAATGGTCCATTGGAGGATGGTCCAGGTTG